TTGGGAGGAAAGAGTTATCAATATTTAATGATCTAGGGAGGTCAAAACCTGCTTATGTTTAAAATTATGAGAATTTAGAGCAATTCTGTTGGCTGCAATGGAGTTACTCCAAATTTATCACATCAACATAAGCAGGTACAGCTCTGTATTAGGAAGAGAGAATTTTCCATACAGGATCAGACAATTGGCCACATAAAACCCAGTTTCCTAGCCCACTACCACCCTTGGTCAGTAATATACTTGTGTGACTCATGCACTGGTAGCCCTAGGAAGAATCCTTAGGTGAAATTTCATGGCTCATGCACAGGTAGCCAGGAAGTTTCAGCCAAGGATTCCTTCATATGGGGAAGAGGTAAATCCTTACAAAACTGGATCTCCTAGATTTCTGTTCTACTTGCTGTCTCCAGGGCAAAGCAAACTCCACTGGACCTGAGAACTGACCCCACAGTATGCAAATGTAACATGATCATAATGATAATAAACACTCAGCACTTGCAGAGTACTTTTCTCTAGATATAAAGCAGATTAGAAAGGAGGATAATGTTTACAGATGGGGAAAGGAAAGCACAGGGAAGTGGAGTGACTTTGCCAAACCTCACTTTAGTGGGAACAGAAGCCAGATCTCATGATTCATAAAAGTCTTTCACTTCTGTTTCATTATTATTGCTTAGTTGAAGCCCTATACAATTGTGTAAATGTTTGGGTTTATTTATTAAAGCAATTCTGCAGGCAGCCAAACTTGAAGCATCATCCAGACAGAATAATCAGACCCTTTCTAAGTGATGCTATATCCTTATTTTACCAGTTTCATTTGAAATAATTTTTATAGAATTAACAGATTACTACTAGCCCTATACTGTTCCAGGATAGAAGTAGAACCATAGCTAGTTATTGGGTGAAAATCGTGACTGGGGGAAAAAACCCCAATGATTTCTTCTTTAACCTTTTTTATCTCAACAACCTCCCATAAATTCAGGGTGCATTAATTTCTGGGAAAATCTCACTATATTTGCTGCTTTTCTTAATGCCTCAGTTCCTGGAGCCCCGTGAGTACATGAGAACTTTAGCTTTCGTTCAAAAATGAGGGGGTAGGGGGAGAGAAGAGAGGAGGAAAGAATTCTGGCTCCACTGAAGTCAATAGAAAACTTCCCATGGACTTCAAAAGGACCAGGATTTCCTCCTACTTTTCCAGCCATCATAGGTGTAGAGAAAAGCTCGCACAAAAGAACAGGAGGCAGAGCCAAAGACCCCGAAGGGGAGTGGTTTTGCTTTTCATCCCATGGGGGGGGGGGGGGGGGGG